CCCCTTTTCTCCTCTCTGGCTTCCAATTCAAACATATGCCAGGCACTGTGCTTCATACTGGGGATGGGCCTAACTCAGATCACAGCAAGAAGGGCACACTGGACCTTAAAAGGAACACTGAAAGCATGGTATGTGGGCCATGGTGGCAGCACAGGGCCAGAGAGGAACTCTTAGTGAGATGAGGAAGGATCAAGAAATGCTTCCTAGGGAAGAGAAAGTCTGAACTAGGTTTTCAAGGATAAATAACAATATAATTAGACACAAATGTCTCTGTTCCCCAGGTGGGCTCAGGTCGTGCCCGCCCCAGGAACTCCCAGATGCTTCTGGACCCTGGCTCTAGCCAGGAATATTTCATTTACGATGGCCCCTGTAATATCCCATGTTCCTGTCCAGACATTTCTTCATTACCTGGGCTCCAGGCAAGAGGAGGGAGTACTGAAAGCTTATGGGGCTTGAGACATACAGACCAGTTTGAATCCTTGCTCAATCATTAAATCTGTTACTACCTTACTTAGATATTCCTTGAGACTTAGTTTCTTTATTTGAAAAAAGTCAATAACAACAGTGTATACCTAATGAGGGTATAGTAAAAATTAAGTAAAGTGATACAGGGAAAGCTCTTTGCATAATGCCCAGCACATGGTAAGTGCTCAATTATCAATCACAAAGAGCAGTCTCTGCCTCCTCCCTAGCAAGTGCTGGCCATTCTGAGCCTGCCCTCCCTTTTGCTGCTGCTGGTGAGACTGGCTATGGGTTCTGAGGCAGGAGGTTGAAGAAAGCACCATGGGCTACAGAGTGCAGAGAATCAGTTTGAGCCCCAGCTTCGCCACTCACTAGCTTATCCACCCAGGGAAGCCTGTCTATCCTGTCAGACCTCAGCCCAGACCCAGCTTTGTTTGTTTCTTTTTTTCTTTTTTTTTTTTTTTGAGACAGCGCCTCAAGCTGTCACCCTGGGTTGAGTGCTATGGCTTCACTGCTCACAGCAACCTCCAACTCCTGGGCTCAAGCGAGTCTCCTGTCTCTGCCTCCCAAGTAGCTGGGACCACAGGCGCCCGCCACAACGCCCGGCTATTTTTTGGTTGCAGCCATTAATGTTGTTTGGCAGGTCCGGGCTGGATTCGAACCGGCCACCTTAGGTGTATGTGGCTGGCGCCTTAGCCGCTTGAGGCACAGGCGCTGAGCCGCTTTGTTTGTTTCTTTAGCTTTTTTGTTTGTTTGTTTGGAGACAGAGCCTCACTCAGTTACCCTGGGTAGGGTGCCATCACATTATAGCTCACAGCAACCTCAAACTCTTGGGATCAAGTAATCTTCTTGTCCCAACCTTCTGAGTAGTTGGGACAACAGGACCCTGCCACAA